TTAATGATGAAATTGAAAACAAATAAAACTTTAATGAAATAGTCAAGTTGAAAAAATAAAAAAAATAGAGACTGAAGTTGAAATATCAATAATCAAAATGATCAAGTAGTAATTTTAAAGGAGGTGAGAGAAAGTAAAAGATAAAAAAATTCACTTATTACATACTAGATCACCACACGAGACACGTGTTGCACCAACAGGAAAAGAACACAAATGCCCCATCAACAACACGACAAGAGAGCATGTTTTTAATATTAGAAGGCAACACACGTGCTTCTCAAAGGGTGCTGACACCTCTCACGCGTCTTGGGTGTGCTATTCGCACATGTCTTTTTTTTTTTCCGCTAAATACAAAAGTGCTTCTAGATTAACTTTCTACATACAAAAAAAAAATACTATGAAAAAAAAAACACCTTCTGACCTTGTGTTTTTTTTTTAAGATATTTTTATTGTTTTATTGTGCATTCTAATTATTTATTATTTTTAATATGTGATCAAATACTAAATTGTCTCTTAATTCTTAATTTAAATTGCAGTAACAAAACAATATTGTGAAAATACAAAAATATCTCTTGATACCAGATTTAATTTTTTAGCTTCTAAGAATATTCTAGTTATTTTATTTTGTAATTGAAATAAAAAAATACTTATTTGTTTCTAGTTAATTTAAAAATAACAAATGTCATTCCTAATCGTTTTAAAAATAACAAATAAACGGTGTCAAATTTTTTAAACAATGTCAATATATCTATAGCTGCAGTATTTTGTTCATGACCAAATAGGTTTTGAAGATATCGACTCTGGGTGTGCCTGTCGAGCTTCCAAGGAATAATTCCATGGCATCATCCTCTACCCGGGGGCCACCAAAGGTGATGGAGAAAACGTGCTTTGTAATTTATAAACCAAGGGCAACGGAATATGGTCCCGCTCACTCTCCTAAAGCAGCCAGTGCACAGAAATTTAAAAGGTCAATGAATTATTGGTCACATTAATCTTGTAAATTTCTTCTTCTTCCTCTTTTATTGAAGTTCATAAAAAAGAAAAGAGAAAAACAGCCTACGTACGATGCGTTTGAGAAGTGGCGACCCGCACCACAAAGAAATAAACTAATGGAAAATCGATATTCATTAAAAACAAAATAATCGATAAGGAGGATTCTATGTCCCTCCATATATATTACTTTTCATTGCAATAATATAATAATTATTTTATTTTTTAATAAAAAATCAATAAATTTATTATTGGAATAACATGATTTATTTTTATAATTTATTAATCATTATAAGATTGATTAGGGATAATTCAATCTTTTTACATTTTAAAATTACAATACAATAACCAAATTATCTTTTTCAAACTAGCATTTAATAATTTTGTATATTTTTAAGTTAGTTTTTATTGTCAAAAGCTTATGATCATAGTTATGATTTTCAAAAATTATCACAAGTTGAATTTTATATATTTTTAGATCTTTTTAAAATTTTAATTTTTTATCAATTTTATCTTTTAATATTTAATTTATTAGAAACTTATCTTTTTATTTTTTTCATTTTTTTTATAGAATTATTTCAATATTAATTTTATCTCTTAATATTTAATTTATTAAAAACTTATCTTTTTATCTTTTTCATTTTTTTTATAGAATTATTTCAATTATTTAACCATGGTTGTAGGGTTAAGAGGTTAGATCTGACAGACTCAAATATTTTTTTAATTTTTTTTTATTTGAAATTTTGAAATTCAATATTGAATTGTTTAATATTAAGTTTTATAATTTTATTCATTTGTTTTTTAACCATGGTTATAATAATATCATGAACATGTCACAAATGTAGTATTTTAACTTGGATGAGCTAGTTTTGTTTGAATTTTTCTACATTGTTAGTTTTTTATCAATTTATTTATTATATTTATAATATTTAAATTACATGAACTTATTAAATCAAGTTGAGTCAGCAACTTGAATCATTAATTGTTGTTTGTTTTTTTTATAAACACTTATGTAACCTAGTATCATTTATTCACGATGAAAAAAAATATATAATACCCCACGACAAAGCATGAGCTCTCTATTTAGTGGAGGACCAAAACCTCACTACTTGCAAATACAATAAAGTTAAAAACTTTAATTTGAAATTATATGTATGTGATAACTTCTATTATTCGAGCATCTTATAGTTTATAACTGGATTATTAGCTCACATTGTATTGTGAATTAAAATAATTTTTTAATATAAAATATCTTAAAGTATTGCTAATGTGTTTTTAATAAAAAGTTATTAATTTTTGTAAAACATGATTAATTTTCGTGCAAGTCAATTAATATTATTTATTAATTTTTAATTATTTAAAGCAATGTAACAAATAAAAAGTGTTTTTATAAAAAAGAAAAAAATAGAGAGAAGATGACTGGTGTTGCTGATGGTTTTTCAAAGGCATTACTTCATGTTACAGTGCAGTTGTGTTTTTGAAATTTTTTAATTTTTTAACTTTATTTTTTTTTAATATTTTTAGATAATATTGATATATCAATATTATAGTTAAATTTTAAAAAATAAAAAAATATTTAAATATATTTTACAATTAAAAAATATTTTAAAAAACAACTTTTATTATACTATCAAATAAGTTTTTAGTCTAATTCTGTGGTTAATTTTATTACTCGGGCTCATTTGAGAGTATATTAAAAATTAATTTTTAAATTATTTTTTATTTAAAAATATATTAAGATAATATTTTTTTTAAAAATATTTTTAATATCAATATAATATATTAAAATGATTAAAAACTATTGAAAATAATAATTTAAAACTAAAAATAAAAAATAAAAGATTGTGTTAAAAAACCTGAGATAATTGATATAAACACATCAATATCTTACCAATAAGTCCAATCAATGTGGGGCCAGGTTAATTATTCAGCAATCCATCCCCGGCTGTGATTCCCCTAAATTTCATCGCGTAATTGGAACTCTACCGGCCTCCCAAATACGACCAAGAGCAACTTGCATGACGTTGACAAGCAGAGCTTGCTCCTTTGATTTGATTTGATTTGATGTTTTCCTGTTGTCATGACCCATCAAACATGGAAGATGGAGTAAGGTATAATTTTCGCTAGATAAGATGGTGACCATGCACACTTGTCATGCCTTGACGTGGACATATTTAATGTATTTTATTTCTTTATTTTATAATGTCGGTTTCTGGTTGGTGAAAGGAGCTCCATGAGAAAAAAAATTCATTATTTTTCATATTTTTTAGTAGAATAGTGTCATGATTTTTTTATCTTTTCCATGCTTAGAGCTTAGATGAAGAATCTCGCTCTGCTTCGCAATGACGTGTAATTGAACAAATTTCCTTTATTTCAACGCCACTCAACATTTTTGTGAAGAAAAACCGATTGCCTTGACCTGTTTCCCACTCTTTTCTCCTTTATCTCATTGAAGAACAATATTGCGACAGTATTTTGAATGTAAAGTTTCTGATAATTCTTAGAAGCCCTTAACAGGTTTATTATAGTAACTTATGTTTTCTGTCTGTTTTTTTGAAAATAAATTTATTTTTTAAATATTTTCAATGTATTAATATCAAAAATAAAAAAAAATTAATATAATTTCAGGAAAAAAATGCCATTTACCACAGTATCAAAAATACACTGAACATAACCATTTAGGTGGTGGTCAAGTGATAAAAACTTGGGACCAAGCGGTTTGCTCTCTTTGTGGTCTCATGTTCGAGTTCTTAGTTGCTCATATGATGGCCTAGGTGGTGACCAAGTGATAAAAACTTGGGACCAAGGGGTTTGCTCCTTTTGTGGTTTCAGGTTCGAGTTCTTGGTTACTCATATGATGACCATTGGAGACTTACATGGTCGTTAACTTCAGAGCTCGTAGGATTAGTCGTGGTGCGTGCAAGCTGACTTGAACACCCACATTAATTTTTTTTTTTTAAAAAAATACACTAAACATAAACTTGTGTGTACCTACATTAATTTTTTTTTAAAAAAAATACACTAAACATAAACTTGTGTGCATTTAAGAAAATGACCCCTGATAATCTCTCTTTTTCTCTCTCCTTATAATGTAAATGATGGAACTGTGGACTTTTTTCCGGAAAATTTTGAAGGCTTTCACAAGCAAGAACTAGCCTTTTTAGAAGTCAATTCAAAGTGTAAAATAAAATGAATGGGGTCATTTTTTTGGTTGAATTTTACATTATTTATCATTGAAATGGTTTTTATGAGCTATTGCTAGTACGTAAACTTCTGTTGGTTACAATAACAAACAAATACTTGATTTAAACTCGAGTTTAAATACTTTTTTTATTGTGATATTTTTTTATGAGTCAATATTAAATGTAATTTAATTTAATTATGTTATTATTACAAAGAAAATAGTGTATTTATTTTGAACTAGGATTCCTTAATATATTTATTAAGAGTTTAGTTGTAGTTATTTTTAAAAATATTTTTTATATTGAAATAATTTTTTTTATTTTTTTAAAATTATTTTTAATATTAATAAATTAAAATAATTTGTTAATATTTTAGTGACGTGGTTTGCCGCTGAATGACCCAACCATTTTCTGCTACTTGCCAACTTTGACCACCTTCGTGGAGGCTCCTAAATAAAGCTTTATCCAAACAATAATAATAAAAAAGGGCAATAAAGTAAGAATCCATGGCCCCTTACACTGTGACCAATCACCCAATCCAATCAAAACACCAGTACTCTGGTGTACGAAGTAATAACTTTTATAACACCCATAAAGATACTTAGCAACTAAATAAATAAATAAACTCACTCATGCCTTAAATAAATAAAAATATTTCAATTTCGCAGCCCTTCTTCGGTGTGAGTGCAATTTTCCAGCGGTACTCTTTCTAAACAGTATTTTCATTTTAATATATTAAAATAATTTTTTTTAAATTTATTTTTGTATTAACACATTAAAATAATTTTAAAATATTAAAAAAATAATAATTTAAACCTCACGGACTTTTTACCAGCAACACCTTCCCTTGCACTTTCGTCTCCCTCTCGCCACCTCGTCTCTCTCTAATAGCTGCTTCCAGTCCTTAGGGTTTTGTAGAGAGAGAAAGAGAGGAAATTGAAAGAAGAAAACTGAAGTATGGGGAACTCAACGAGGCAGTTGAAGGCTATGCTTCGTAAGAATTGGCTTCTCAAAATTCGCCATCCTTTTATCACTTCTGCTGAGGTAATTTTATTTTTAGTCTAGTTCAGGTTTAATATTTTTCAATTTGATCTTGAATTTTCTCGATTTTCTTCGAATTTGACTGAAGTTTTATTTGATTTTTCTCTTACTTTTGATTAAATTATACGATTCTTGTGTTTTTCTTTTTTATTTCACATGCTTCTAATTATTGATCATCACTTATGTGCTGTTTCTTGATTTTTGTTTTTATTTTATAATTTCCTTGTGCTTGAATCAAGTATCTGGTTTCTTTTGTTCAAATTGATGCGAGTTTTTTATGTTCTTCTCATTTTTTAACTGTCCGTTAATAGGATGAATTGTTTGTTTGTTTGTTTTCTTTCTTTCTTTGTTAAAATTTGCTTTTGATTTTGCAGATCTTGCTTCCTACAATTGTAATGTTACTGCTAATAGCGGTGCGGACAAGAGTTGATTTGCAAATTCACCCTGCGCAGGCGTAAGTTATCTTCAACTTTCACTGTGATTTAAATTTCAATGCTACTTCGCTGGTTATAATTCAGTGACAAAACACTATGAAGAGTTTTGAAAATTGTTTCTACCTTGTTAGTTTAAGCCAAATACAGAGAATAAGTATAGCAAATTTTTAATTTCATGTTTATGTTGTGGAATTAGCTCTTTATGATGTCGTGGGAAGTAAATGTTGTTGTGGGGGTGTTGAATTGTTTCAGGTATATAAAGGAAAATATGCTTGTAGAAGTAGGAAAGGGTATGTCCCCGAATTTTCAAGAAGTTTTGGAGGCATTGCTGGTGAGGGGAGAGTTTTTGGCTTTTGCACCAGATAAAGAAGAAACAAGGACGATGATTAACTTAATGTCAATCAAGTTCCCTCTACTGCAGGTACCCGTTGAACATCTTTTAGTGATTTTGCAGGTTAAAAACATTTTTGTACCCTCCAAACAAGGATGTACTCTCAAAATGTGGGTTTACTTGTGTATGTGTGCGTTATACTTCTATACTTTTCTGTATGACATCCATCAAAGGTTTCATGTAGTGTGGTCTATGGAGAAGGCCTGGATAGCCTCTGTTGTTATTGTTGTTGTTGTTGTTGTTGTTATTGTTATCGTTGCCGCCGCCGCCTCTGTTTATGATTAGGGCCTTTGTGACCGAGAGATTCATGGATTTGATTTTGTAATTTCAGCAAGTTTCTCTGATCTACAAAGATGAACTCGAGTTGGAAACATATTTAACCTCTGATCTTTATGGCACCTGCAGTCAAGTCAAGTAAGTTGTACCCTTGGCATTCTGGTAAAAGTTCATTCCTCATGGATTCAATTCATTTTTATTATGGTTTTAGGCTGTGGCATTGACATCCATGATGGTCTTTCCCCACTTTTCCTTAGGAATTGCTCAAATCCAAAAATCAAAGGAGCGGTAGTATTTCATAATCAAGGTCCTCAGCTATTTGATTACAGTATACGGCTTAACCACACATGGGCTTTCTCTGGGTTTCCTGATGTTAGAACCATAATGGATGTGAATGGACCTTATCTCAATGACTTGGAACTGGGTGTTAATATAATACCGACCATGCAATACAGCTCCAGTGCTTTTTTCACTGTATGTTTACTTATTTCTTCTCAAGTTGCTTTTTCTTCCTGCAGTCCACAAATATTTATTTGCTTCTTACATGTGCCGGTAATTGTTTTTTGCTTTGAATGTCGTCTAGGTTTGTTATAAGTTACTTCTTATTAAATTATTTTTGCTTGTCCATGTACCAACCGTGGCTGTTGTAGTTTGAAACATTTATGGATTTTGCTTTCAAATTTCAGCTATAGCTCCTTCCATTCATGGTTATCATGCACTGCTTATTTTTCTGGGGAACTTGAAGAAGATTGGACAAAATTGTTTGGAAAGAATAATTGAAATTTCATACCTTAGTGAAAATAGCTTTACATGTTTGAAGTTCTTCGTAAGTATTTGGATCAGACATTTGGCACTATCGCTATTGTTTAGTTAGATTGTATGTTATAATCTTGATTTTGAATTTTGGAACCTCATAATGTTGAGACAATCTTTTATGCTCAAAACTAAAAATGTCTTGCATAATTGGCTAAATATACAAGCACCTGACATTGGAACTCTTTTATTAATCCTGTACAGATTCTCTAATTTATCCTTTTATGCTTTAGATTTTTCTTTACAAATTGTGCGGGGAATGCCGTACACTTTTCAAAGAGTAAATTAACAAGGTTGAGCTTCCATGCTTTCTGCAGCTTCAGCAGGTAGTGGATTCATTCATAATATTTGCCTCTCAGCAAACTGAAACTGAGTCTTCAACTGAACATATAGAACTGCCATCGTCCAATTCATTCAACAAATCTTCCTCGCTCAAGTTGCCATGGACAAAATTTAGCCCTTCAAAAATTAGAATCGCTCCCTTTCCAACACGTGAATATACCGATGATCAATTTCAGTCAATTATCAAGAGCGTCATGGGAGTATTGTATGTGTTTTTACCCCTAAGGTTTCAAAGTTTTCTATTATCTTTGTTAATTAGGATTTTTTTTTTGTTTTCCTGGAATTGCATAAGCAGGTATCTTTTGGGATTTCTCTACCCAATCTCTGGCCTTATCAGTTATTCTGTGTTCGAGAAGGTTTGGTAATGGCTATGATAGTTAGCATTAAGTTTACTCTATATCTGTATGATTTTCTTGCTTTTGTTGTATCTTTTTCTTATTTTGACATTTTTAAATAGAGAAATGCATAGTCAATGTTAGTGTTTGTTCTTAGTGCATCCTTGATTTTTAATGTTTCAGGAACAAAAGATAAGAGAAGGTCTCTACATGATGGGCTTGAAAGATGGGATATTCCATCTTTCTTGGTTTATTACATATGCTTTGCAGGTGAACAGGTTTTCCTTATGTCTTTGGATTGAATCACCACTATTGCATGTCCTTACTTGCTTGTTTTGAAAGACTTGCATTATAACTTGATGCAATCGATGCCATTCTATCTAATGTGAGAAAAAAAAAGATATTGTATGAATGCAAATTGCGTGCGTGCATGCATGCATGTACACATGTTTAATTTGCAATATTTTGTTCTTCTTTTGGTTGGCAGTCCATGATTAAATGCCATGAAAGGTTCCAGTGAAGGTGTTCAATGGCTTAAGCTATGTTAACATGTTTTTAGGCTCGAGTTCTGCTAGAAATTAGAAATGCTTCACCCTTGGCGAAGCTGTTTAGTATTGAATAGCCTGTTTCTCATTTTTGGTAGTTTGGTACTTTGGCAGTTTGCAATTTCATCTGGGATTATTACAGCTTGCACCTTGAATAACCTTTTCAAGTACAGCGACAAGTCAGTGGTGTTTGTGTATTTTTTTTCATTTGGACTCAGTGCAATTATGCTGTCCTTTTTGATATCTACATTCTTCACACGAGCAAAAACAGCAGTGGCAGTTGGTACCCTTTCGTTTTTTGGGGCCTTCTTTCCTTATTACACTGTCAATGACCCGGCTGTCCCTATGTAAGTACTCATGCTATGAACAATTTTGTTCTGGCAGAGTTTAACGAAGAACATTTTCTTCCTAGTTGCATTTATTGCAAGTTCTCATATTTTATAACGCAGGCAATATTTATCTAATGTTTTGTACCTATAGGATATTGAAGGTCCTTGCCTCTTTGCTATCACCTACAGCCTTTGCTCTCGGATCAATTAACTTTGCCGATTACGAGCGTGCTCATGTTGGACTTCGCTGGAGCAACATATGGCGGGTATATTCTGTATTTGGAGTTCTTCCTTTGCTTTTGATTATTTTAGAAGCCTTTTTATGTGCTTCTAAACTTTTTAGACAATATTGGTGCAGGAGTCATCTGGGGTGAATTTTTTGGTCTGTCTTCTGATGATGTTATTTGACACATTGATATACTGTGCTATTGGCCTGTACCTTGATAAGGTACATCTCTTAAACTCTTTTTCTTTCATGGAAGAAGTGTTATACTCTACTCTTATGGGTATAGTCTCTTCCTTTACTGTATGTTGTACTGGCAAAAGATAGTTTTGGGACATTTATTCTGTCATTGGTAGGGTTAACATCCCTTGTCCAGCGGGGTTTTCTTGCTTGGTTACATGGAATGATCTGTTTCTGGTTTATGTTGATCCTGTGAACATCGGTTTCTCTTAGATTGTAAAGTTTGTTGTGCCAGTATTGTTGACCGTTTAAGAACTGTTTTAAGCGGGCTTCTTGTCTTTCTGTCAAGATTTGTATAATGTTGGGAATGGTGAATTATCTTGGTTGAGTATCAAGTTTTCTAGTAATTATGAACATTTTATATACATGCACATGGATCTTTTTCACAGCTTAATATATATTGAATAAAATCATAACTATTTAAAAGTTATGTCCCTAGTCATGTAATTTTGATAGTTTTGTTAACTAATTAGTGACACATCAAGTGGCTTTACTGAACAGCTACGCATTGCCATAATTGAAGTTCTTCTATGCCTGTTGTGTGGAAGAAAATCATAGCAACTGAAAAGTTATGCTCCGTGTCATGTAATTTTAATGCATTAATATATGCATTAAGTGGTTTTTCTCATCTGGTAGGTATTGCTGTAATTGATTATGGTTATTTCACCTATCAGAAAAGGGAAACAGTTAGATTGTATCATCTATGATCCATAGAGAAGTACACACCCTGAATTCTTGTTTGTTGGCAGCTATATTTAGCATGCTTTTTATGCTATTGCATGTGTTCTGAACCTTACTGATATCAGTCATCTTATCAGGTCCTTCCCAGGGAAAATGGGATGAGTTACCCATGGAACTTCTTATTCCAGAAGTGCTTCTGGAGGAAGAATAATTTTGTCAAACATCATGGTTCCAGTTTAGAATCCAACTTTAACGATGAGATTTCCAATGAAAGGGCAAGCTTTTTAGGAAATAATACCCATGAACCTGCTGTTGAAGCGATAAGCTTAGATATGAAGCAACAAGAACTTGATAAAAGGTACTCGCTAAATATGAAGCTATCTCTGTTTGCAGTGGATAATGAATATTCTCCTTACATTTTCTTTGTTCAATTTTTAGATGCATCCAGATTAGGAATCTGCGTAAGGTGTATGCTTCTAAAAGGGGAAACTGTTGTGCTGTCAATTCTTTGCAGCTTACCTTATATGAAAATCAGATTCTTGCTCTTCTAGGTTGGTTGTGTAATTCACTTGGTTCTCCTTCATTTCTGTCTCATGCTTTGTCTTTTGTATTTATTCTAACTCCTAGTTTGATACCTGAAAATTAAAATGATGATTTTCTACCAATTACAGTTGTTTTTCTGATAATATGTATTCTGTTTGAGTCTGTGACACTTGCATTTCTGATATGAGCTCTGTGAATCCTACACTTCTAAAATGGCTTTATAAGTGAGATTGTTCAGTGTTTTTTCTTTTTTCCCCTTAATAAAATAAATAGTAGTTGTATAAAAGAAGCTTTATGAATCTGATCTCTCAAGGTTAAAACCTGAAGAATCATTGGATCATATTTAACTGCCCTGATAGTCAATTGTTAATTTGGAAGGGCAACGAGTTACTGGTCTTGTGTCACTCAAGTTAACCAGCTCCATTCTGTCCACCATATATAGGATAGCTCTCTTATTTATAGAGAAAAGATACCTCTTTTTCCCACTTAATGGGATAAATTGTTACGAGTGTAGAGTACCTTGTTTAAAAAGACATTGTTCTTCTGGTCATCTTTCAAGGTACCTGCATGAGGAATCTCATTATATAATTGACTTAACATCTACCAGTAATAGACAATTTTTATCCTCAATGATATCCACAGACACCCCCAAACTCTTGCTTGATTAGATTGTCAAGAGACTTGGTCATTTCTTGCAAGTCATAATGCTTTGAGACTCCTTCCAGGTAGATCCCTTGGAATCTAATACCCTCTCTGTGAACATTAACTAAGCTGACAAAGTGTTGAAAGAAATTATTTGAGAAGTGAATTTCTTATCAGTCCTAAAATACATGTATGTGCTTGGGTTTTTCTCCATGAAATGCAGATGCATTACTCTGGGTACTGTAGCTTTTTATGGAAAAGAGGGAAACCTTATTTATCATTTTGGAGGATAACATTTTTGCTGTTCTGATATAAAATTATCATTTTCAAGGACATAATGGAGCTGGAAAAAGCACAACAATTTCAATGCTTGTTGGTCTTCTTCCTCCTACTTCTGGGGATGCTTTAGTATTTGGAAAGAATATCACAACAGACATGGTAAATTATGTTTTCTTTTTCTCAAACTACCTTTTCCCTTTTGCCTTTGCGGCTCCTCTGTTTGAATGGGCTGCTAAGTAACCTAATTCATCATTTACTCTATTTATATTATTCAATTTGTAATCTTTCATAGGATGAGATACGGAATGGACTGGGTGTCTGCCCTCAAAATGATATCCTTTTTCCAGAATTGACTGTAAGTAAGAAGCATGTTTTGTTTTTTCAATTTGTGCCATACAATATACATTTAGTACTCTCTAATGCTGACAATAAGTGTTTGTTTCTTCTTCATGCTACCTGGATATTACATGCAGCCGAAGTTTTGGACTAGTTATTTGCGTGGACACATTAAGAAAATTGAACTATCCTGACCATATTTTGTCTTTAAACTTGTCAATTACAACACTTGCCCTTTCAAGTGTAGTATAAGAAGTTTTGTTGTTCTTTAACCGCTTTCATATTTAGTTTGTGCTCATGATGAAATGGAATAGTTGGAATATCTATTGTGCCTGTCGCATGCGTATTCTGGAACTTGAGAAATGTAATAGCAAATATCAATTTCTTAAGAGATATGATTGCGGTGATGTTGCTAAATTTTTATATATGACTGGATCTCAAAGGTTATAATCCACTCATATGCATCAAGCCGTCTGCTAATTGTAATATGAAGTATATAGTATTTTAACTAATAAATGCTGTAGATTTGATAACAGCTGATCCATCCTTTACTATCTGTATCTTCCAATTCATTTCTCATTTAATCTATCTGTTAGCTGTTTTTGTCCATGATTATTAAGACACCTTCATGGCACTTTGGTTGCAAGTGGACTGAATCTTTTCTGTTAGGATTGTAATTGTAGCTGTGGATCAGGTACAATTCATTGCTGTTAGAACCATAACAGTATGAGTACGACTAAATTCATGGTACAATTTAATGCTTAATTAGGATGGAAGGATGCCAGAATTCTCACCAGCTTTTCACATAATCTCAAAGGAAAAAATCATGCTTAAGTTTGGCTCGGTCCTTGCCCCCTATTCATCTAATAGGAACACAAATCTGAGAAATAATGTGGGTTCTTTAGTTGCATGGAAGTGCCAGTTGAGATTCCTTTAAATTCTTATGGAGGTTCACAACTCAGATTCATGGACAGTGAGGGAGGGAAAAATTCCTTGAGTTCTTATTGTGGAATTTTCATTCTCAATGAACAATGCTACCTCCGAAAGTCATGGTGCTTAATCTTGTACTTGAATCAACTATTTCATCTATGACCACAACTAGATGAACCTGTTAGTGGTTATGGCACTATCTCTATTGCTGATGTCTCCGTAAAAACTCATTCTTGGACAAGTTGATAAATAACTGATTTTCTTTAGTTGCTATCTTTCGATTTCCAATTTTTATTCCAGGATTTGTTTGACTGATAAATTAAATGGATCTCTCTTTTTTTTTGCTTGAGATGGTAGATGCTGAATTTTGGAGATTGATTAAGTTTGAATTGGTTAATTACTTTATCCAGGTGAGAGAACATTTAGAAATTTTTGCTGCATTGAAGGGTGTGAAGGAAGATATTTTGGAGAGGATCGTAACTGATATGGTCAATGAAGTGAGTTTGTCTTCATTTAATTTGGATCTGTCCTTCATATTTCACTCAATATTTTGAATTATGTCAATCAATAATGTTTATTTTGTAAGTTAGCCTACATATAGCATCCCTTCTTCTTAAGCCTGGATGCATATAACATTCAGTCAACCTTGAACTGATACATGCACTCCTTTTTTTGGCTTCCTTTACACATTTGATATTCTACATTTTCTTAGCTTGAGTGCAAGTTTTGGTATGCAGTAGGAGCTTGGAGAATGAACTTTTTCTTAGTTAAAAAATTGAAAAAAAATTGTTTTGTGGTGTTTAGGTGGGTCTGGCTGATAAGGTCAATACTGCTGTGAGGGCTCTTTCTGGTGGCATGAAGAGGAAATTATCTCTGGGAATTGCACTGATAGGAAATAGCAAGGTGATTTAAATATGAAAGCATGTTCTTGTTTCTTGTTGTTGAAATTGTGAGGAACCATTTCTCATTAGTCTATCACAGGTCGTAATTCTTGACGAACCTACGAGTGGGATGGATCCATACTCAATGCGCTTGACGTGGCAGTTAATAAAAAGAATAAAGAAGGGCAGGATAATCTTACTTACAACACACTCGATGGATGAAGCTGATGAACTAGGAGATCGGATAGCTATCATGGCTAATGGATCCTTGAAATGCTGTGGAAGGTAAATTCTTTTAGACCATTATCTGATATTTTCTTGGGTCAACGAAACCTCATTATTTTCAGAAACTATTTTGTTAGTGGGCAAATAGCAGTTTAAGAGTAGGACAGATGTCACATTTCTGATGCTTGATTTATATACCTTCCCCAGAAAATGGAACTAAAAACATCTAGAAATAAATGATTGGTTTATATTGGATTTCAAGCATGGTGAAGGTAGCATACCTTCTTTTCATTGAGTGCAGGCTCGCATGATGCTATCGATGCAATGTCATGAACATTTCTTAAGCAGCTTTGTGTTTTGAAATTTTTGTTTGTATACTTTGGCAAGTTCTCATTGGACATGAAATTTTGATCGGCAGCTCCCTGGCAGTTTCATTTTAGAAAAAAATAGTTTTTTTTTTCCAGTGCAAATTCTTCACCAAGGTTCCCTTTTTTGTGCCACCGCATCATGAGTGCTACCTTATTGTCACGTATCATCCTCTGTTCCTTGTAGAGGAAAAAGTTTTAAAGAAAATTTTTATCAAGACCCTGCAATTTATGAGCAGGCATCATAAATTGCAGGCGTCATATATAAAAAATATAATAAATACTTGATCAACTAATATATGGATTAGGGGCTTTCTGGTAAACTCACTGAAAACAAAGAAAGGGATTGAGCAAAACTTCGAGGAATATTTTATTTTAGTCTTCATTTTTTGGGATGTAGTAAGAGACAAAATACAAGAATCCTACAGTTATGGAGAATGATTGATTAAAGTGGTGAATGAAAAGAAGTTTAGATGGTTTTGGTGATAAAATCTTGGGAATTTTGCCCCTTTTAGTGGTTAGAGAGAGTATAAGGCAAGGCCCTTTTTTGTTGGTTTGGATTAATTTGATCATTTCTTAAATATATTGGCAGATCTGTTATTCGGTGCACCATACACTTCATAATCTTTTGTGTTCTTAGAATCTATACATCTTGTATAAAGAACGTCCTCTTGACACGTGAAAACCTGTATAAGATGATTGCCAAATGATTACAGAACAATGCATAATTTCCAGTCGTCATTACTATTTCTAATTTTTCTCTCTTGTCTAGACTCCGTAGAGGCTAGAAAATAACTGCAATAATTAATTTTCTATATGGGAAATTCTGGTTTGTGCTGCGATTCCATAAATTCTCTTCCCAGCTAGACAACATAAGCTTAATAGAGCCATGGATTTCACCATTTAATCTGATTCTGATACCAGATGTAGCTTTTTTTTGAGAAGTAATTGCCCTCTTCTTGGTGATTGTCCAATATCCCTTATGAAACTTTGACTGGTGCTTTTGTTAAAAGCTGGATCAAAGTATTCCTACTGTGACCTCTGAGAAATCATTTTTAAGCAAGCTTTCCTCTGATTTTTATGTGAGCGCTTCTTTCAAGATCATGCCTTGATAAATCTTGGTTGGCTAACTTTGGTAGAATAATTGGCCATTTGTGTCTTTAACAAATTGGCTTGATATAGTTGTTACTTTTATTATGTCATATCCAGAGCATACTACACCATATCAATGTTTTTGTTCCTTTTCCCTCTTTTTTTAATGCTATGCACCTTCGTTTTGATCCAAGATTCTGTAAATTGTTAAAAAAAAATGACAGTTTGTATTATGTAGAATAATTGTTAGTTCAGATGTTTACATATCAATCTTTGGTTTTAACAGCTCCCTATTTTTGAAGCATCAGTATGGGGTTGGTTATACCCTTACATTAGTGAAGGTCAGCTCCTCAATCTGATATTTTTCAATGAAACTTCTTAATGCTCATGTATAATGGTCTTCATCACCAAACTATTGGATGATGTTATTTTTTCTCTTTTCTTTCAGTCGTCACCTACTGCTTCTGTGGCTTCTGATATTGTTTACCGCCATGTTCCATCTGCAACATGTGTGAGCGAGGTATCAACTTTGACATGCATTGGACATTTCTTAAGCTGTCCTATCTCAGGACCTGTTAAGATGCACATATAAGAATAGAGTTTATGAAGAATTTTTCAAAAACCCCCTGATTGCTTCGGAGTTGTTTATCTTAATGTGTTTGGAATTAAGCTTCTGAATTTGATTTATTATTTTCTAGCACTCGCATGCATGCATGCATGCATGCATGTTCTAAGTTTACTTGTTTCCCAAAAGATTCCTCGTGTATTCATGATGCTATTCATATGTTATCCCTGATGATCTTCCTTTTTTAATTTTCATCTGTGGTTTGCTCTCTCCCCAGGTTGGAACTGAGATTTCTTTCAAGCTGCCTTTGGCATCATCGGTTTCTTTTGAAAGCATGTTTAGGGAAATTGAAAGTTGCATGAGAAGATCAATTTCTAAATCAGAAATGAGTAGCAGTGAGGACAAAAGTTATCCTGGCATTGAAAGTTATGGTATTTCAGTCACAACTCTGGAAGAGGTATTCCTGAGAGTTGCAGGATGCGGGTATGATGAAACTGATGATTTCGTGGACAGAAACAACATTCTTTCATCTAACTCTACAGTTCCTGCAGCTTATGACAATCGCCCTTCCGAAACAATTTTTGATGCAAAAATTTTGGGAAATTATAAAAAGATTATTGGATTCATATCTGCCATGGTGGGGAGATTCTCTGGTTTAATGGCCGCCGCAATCTTAAATTTCATCAATTTCTTAGGTATGCAGTGCTGTAGCTGCTGTATGATTTCAAGATCAACATTTTGGCAGCATACTAAGGCATTATTCATAAAGAGGGCTATATCTGCTCGGAGAGATAGGAAAACAATTGTTTTCCAACTTCTAATTCCTGCCATTTTCTTGCTTTTTGGTCTTCTTTTTCTCAAGCTTAAGTCACATCCTGATCAGCAGTCTGTTACTCTAACAACTTCACATTTTAATCCTCTCTTAAGTGGTGGTGGTGGTGGTGGTCCAATTCCTTTTGATCTATCCTTGCCTATTGCAAAAGAGGTTTGTAGATCTTATTCTTTTCTTCTTCTGTCTGTTGTTATGTATGCTGTTTTCACAGCCTTTGAAGTCATAAAATATGACTGGCTGGTGAACTTCCTTTGGGGAACATTTGAGATCTTCAAAGCTGCTAAATGCAGGTTGCTGGATATATTAAAGGGGGGTGGATTCAAAACTTTAGACAGAGTGCATACAGATTCCCTGATGCAGAGAGGGAATTGGCTGATGCAATCAAGGCAGCAGGACCAACTTTGGGACCGGTTTTACTTTCTATGAGTGAATTTTTAATGTCTAGCTTTAATGAATCCTATCAGTCAAGGTGTGTTGACCTGAACTCTGAATTTCTTTTCACTCTCTTATACAGTTTTCTGAATTGCATTTTAACATTTCTTCATTTATTATCTGTAATCAATCTTCTTGCCAGCTTCATCATGTTTCAGTTTTTCAAACCATTGTGAAACTTTTGCAGAACTAAAGTTTGCAATATCTATTCTTTTCTTTCATAAAATAAATGGTGTAAGCATCTAAATCCTTGTATATGGAGCCTATATATCTTTTCACAAAGCCACAGGTAATAGCATAACTATTAAATGTATTTTTTTTTCACTGGGTTTGGGCTGGTGTCATATATTGTCACCTTTTATGCAACCACTCTGTTAGTCAATTGTACTTGTCTAAACAATGGTATCCCCTGCTGGTCCAGAATGTAGTTTCTCAATTGTACCTGTCTAAACAATGTGTTTAGATTTTCAATGGATAGTAAACTGATATTTCTCCTAAATTGAACTGTTAATTTGGGACACAACCAATTTATGGTATAACACTTTTTGCCAAGAAAAGCAGTTGGAACTTCTGGTTGATTATATCTTCCATGCATGGCTTATTGATCAGATGCCTCCTTTTCATTTCATGATATATTATCATGTGCAGGTATGGGGCTGTTGTGATGGATAAACAACATGATGATGGAAGCTTGGGATATACCATTCTACACAACAGTTCCTGTCAGCATGCTGCTCCAACCTTTATCAATATAATGAATGCTGCGATTTTGAGGCTTGCTACTGGTGATCAAAATATGACAATTCAAACACGCAACCACCCTCTGCCGATGACCAAAAGCCAGCACTTACAACATCATGTATGTTTCCTTTCTCATGCTAGATGTTTTCAAGCCTTCTAATGGCTGACAGCAAAGCTTGATCCATATGGATTAGACTTCTTTTTATAGATTTCTATCCCAGGTATTGAGAATACTATAAAGAAAATTATGTTGAAGGAAAGCCATTGGGGGACGGAAATCATTATACATAGTTTTAAAACCCGGCCCGGCCAGGCGGGTTGACCCGGGACCCGGCCGACCCGGGGCTGGAACCGGGCCGGGTTGATGAAAAAATAAGGTAAGCTATGACCCGGCGGGTTGACCCGGAAACCCGGACGACCCGGCAAAACCCGGTCAAAAACCCGGTGGTAACCCGTTGACTTTTATTTATTTTTTTATTAAAACGACGTCGTTTTGAATTTTTTTTAAAATAGAAATTGACCCGGCCGACCTGTTCGACCCGGTCAAAACCCGGTGACCCGGTCAAAACCCGGAACCCGGGCCTTGGACCGGGTCAGCCACCGGGCCGGGTTTAAAAAACTATGTCATTATATAATCTGAAAAATCTGTGTCTGAATATGTTTATCATATTTAGAACATTTGTCATATGGATACTGGAGGTTTAAAATGTGGGGCGAGGTGGGGTGGGTGTGCTGTACTAGGGAAGAATTCTACATGCTTGATTGGGGACACAATCTCTTGCATTTATTATTGTGTATTCAGTTGCTATCCTGTGATACATGGCATCCAATTATGTTATGAATGGAGAACTATAGGCTTTATAATTCAATTTCAACTTGAGGGAAGAGTTATACTGAGACATTGTGAAATTTGAACAGGTTTTATTTCTAATTATAACAAAATGGAACCTTGAGATTTGTTTGATGTTATATTGTACGAAGTTCTTCACATCATGATGTAGGAGTGCCTTTGTTGGCATTTACTCTTTCTATCACTCTCTCAGAACAGTTCCATTTAGACAATGCTTGAATTTATTGCATTATCTTGTGAGTATGTAGGATTTGGATGCCTTTTCTGCTGCAATTATTGTCAATATCGCCTTCTCATTCATTCCTGCTTCATTCGCAGTTGCCATTGTGAAGGTATTATATCTGAACTCTATTGGGAAATGTTTAGTCTAAGCACTTTTCTTCACAGCTTTACTGTCTCTCTCTACTGGGTGGGCATGTGGTAGTTTTGCTGGCAAAAAGATAGTTATATTTTAGTGTATTATGCTTCTTGGAACAATTGTTTGTAGTCAATGAAGTTGTTGTGGATAAATTTCAGTCACTTGGAATCTTGTATAAGATTTCAGATGGGTCCAGATGTGGTTCAATTTGTTTTAGGACTCACTCATGGTAATAAGCTAAAGAGTTAGAATAAGCATCCTATCTGATAATGTCAACAACAAAATTTCACTTATTAGCATGCAACTTTATTGAATTCTTTTAATGAGCATTTTATTATAATTTTTTCCATGTGCTGTTGGCCTTGTTTCATTTCTGAGATTTTAGATGGCATTATAATGTGATTTGTTACTAGAATGTATATTGACAACTTTAATTTGGTGGTGACAGTAAATTTGTTGTCTTTGGAAAATTGAAGTTGAGGCCTTAATGTTTTTTTTTTTTTTAAAAAAAACGTGCTTATTCTTGATATTTCATCAGTTTAGGATGTTTCTTTACAAGTTAGTAGGTGGTCTGGTAGTGTTAAATCCTTGCACCAAAGGGAATTGCATTATTCATCTTGATGGGATTATGGTCCTCCAGTCCTCTCCTGCCCCATAATATTTACCTCTTTTTTGCTTCATTTGCAAATTCCTCCATTGCCAGTCTTACATTTCTTGTGATAAATAGATGACTCAACTCTAAAAGAGTTATTTTGGTTTAAGGAACTTATTTTGTTTTTTGAAATATAGTTACAATTCATTAAACAACATGTAGAGATGTTATTGGTCCAACATAACGTATATACAACTCTAAATGTGGTGCCCACCCAACCTCACTTATATGTTTTGCTTTTCATTTTAAAACAACTAAAAAAAGTTCAAGGTTCTTTTGGCTTCCGAGCATTATATGTTGTTTGGCTTTTCACTACCACTATTATTTCTCGTGGCTTATTTGACCTTGTACTTATTATAACTCTTACCAGTTATATACAGCTACTAAAATAACTGCATGTCTAGCTGAGTTTATTCTTGCTTGAAATTCATGCATTGATCAATATCAAAACTACTTCACCTAATCTATTTTTATGACAGTCTGTTTTTATGCCTAGTTGCTAACATCAATGAAATAAATATTTGCATTTTTTTCATTTTTTTTCCATGGGAAGTATTTCATAATATCTAGCTTGATGCAGGAACGTGAAGTTAAGGCAAAGCACCAACAATTGATTAGTGGGGTACGTTCATATTTTAGAGGTGTCAGCTCATGACATTTTGCTTACTGGAAATATATTTAAAAAACTAACATTATAATAATGTCCTTCCTCTCAGGTTTCTGTACTTTCATATTGGGTTTCTACATACATCTGGGACTTCATTAGCTTCTTAATTCCTTCATCTTTTGCTCTCTTACTGTTCTATATTTTTGGTATGTTTCTAGGCTCTCATTCCTATCTATATACTTCTAAGGAACTTAATTTAGGTTTATGAATTTGGCTTGGTCACATTTATGCCATTCACATTGGTTATTGACTTTATGCATATAACCAAAATGCTATTAATTTATTTTTCAATTTCTAGTTATAGACCGCTAAAAATGTTTGGCAACATACTAGTAGTTCAGATGCTTAAGTTGTCTTATTAGATGTATCGATATATGTTCATGCTATGGTATGATATGCTAATCTTACTTTCTATAAGTACGTTGGCTATATCAAATATTGAAATGCTAAATTGTGTAACTTGGTGTTTTACTAGGATGCATGTCAATATTAGATTAATTTCTAGACTGATTTCTTATGGACATGGTGTGACGTGGGGAAATTTCTTCCATATTTTTAGCATCATAATGTGTATAGCATTATTTCATTATTGATTAAAATTTTTAGGTTTTGAGGAGTTTGAGAAGAGTTCAAGACGCGGTTTGGTAAATCAAATATATCTTTTAATCTGATCGTTGGATTGAACTGAAATTTTAATAGAATATTTTTAAGGTTCTTTTTCTTATTGGGTTAAAATTTCACGATGATCGGAGATAAGAAAGATCTTCAAATAAGGCCCGGAGTTACTATGCTAGATTGTCTTTATTTACCTTATTGCATTTGGATTATTTTTTTCTATTTAGTTTAGGAATTTTAATTTAATTAGGATTTTTCTATTTTGGAATCCTAATACTAGATGGATTATATTAGTCACGTAAGCGTTTTAATTATGAATCATTTTCTATAAAAGATTTTAGGGTTAATATAAAAAAGGATATCTAGTTTATTTTCATATGAAGATTATTATTCAGACTTTTAATGAAACACCAGAGAGTTTTCTCTAAATTCCCATACAACTTAGGTTTGTAACTTTAGGACATGAGAACCTTAGCTTTCGTTAACGCTTTACGCTACATCAATTGATATTAGAGTAGTTGACCTCTTTGATAGACGAAGACAGTAGCGACCTGTTTTGCGATGTGGGAGTTGAGGCCCTTTAGGGTGTTGTACGGGCTCAAGAGCAAAAACTAGATTGTTGGGAACAAAGGTTTAATTGTTCGGAGCAAACCATAGTATATCTAGCTCAACTAATGGGTAATGTAGACAGGGATCGAGAACAGAAGATAAACTTGTTTGGAGACTTATCTCGAGGTAGGCCAAACCCTAGACCCATTCCTGAATTTGATGAGATTTCATTCTACAATGGGAGATTTTTGAAGAAAAGATTTATTAAGTGGTTAGTAGAGTTGGAATCTTACTTTTATTTCAACAAGGTTACTTATCATAAAAAGTAGGACTTGTACACAATTTTCTTTTGGTGTTAAAGAATGGTAGTTTGAATTTATAGACTTTAGAACTCGTATTGGTATGCCTTTAATTTCATCTTGGCAAAATTTGAGACAATCATTTGGAGTTTATATAAGATGATTATGAAGATGTTTTACATTGGGTAGATAAAGCAAATAGTTTCTTATTATTTGTCTTATGTTCAACCTTCTCAAAAGGCAAGGAGAAAAAACATGAAGGAGTTCAGTGAAAGCAAAATTTCAAAGTTATCTAATCATGTTGAAGATAACGTGATCAAAGAGGGTGTTAGCAAACAATTTCAGTCTTTTGACCTGAAGTTGGAGAAGCTACTGGTAGATGATGATCTTTCAATAATGGATCAAGATCTTGCAAGTAAGGACATGGAGGACATGAAATTTTTTGACAATTCTCGTAAAAATATTATGAAAGATTATCTTGTATTTTTCTTAGATACAGAAGTTGGAGTATTGAAAGTTATAGATGATGATGAGGTCAAGTTCGAAGAAAAAGAATGTGTGAAGGAACTCCAAGTGGACTTCATAGGAACGAAAAATTATAACATTAAACATGGAGTTTTCTTTAGCATGCTCATATCAAAAATTAAAATTTAAAGCTCACCGGTCATGGACATGCTATTTTGTGAATATGTTAGCTTCAATACTATATTCAAAATATTTGTTCATTTGGAGTGGAAATGTTTAATTTTTGACAAATAACTCGAGGACAAGTTTTTCAGAAATAGAAAAGGCTGATGTGGGGAAATTTCTTCCATATTCTTGGCATAGAAAAGTTTATTGCATTATTTCATAAATGTTTTAAGATTTTTAGGTTTTGAGGGGTTTGAGAAGAATCCAAAACGCATTTTGGTAAATCAAGCATAACTCATAATTTGATTGTTGGATAAAGTTGAAATTTTGACAAAAGATTATGAAGGCTCTGTTTCCTATTAGGTTAGAACTTCATGATGATCAGAGATTGAGAGACCTTTAAATAAGGCTCAGACGTTAGTGTGTGAGATTGTATTTATTTACCTTACCGTATTTGAATTTGTTTTTCTATTTATCCTAAAACTTTTAATTTAATTATTATTTTACTATTTAGAAATTCTAATGTTAGATGTATTCTATTAGCTAGTTAAGTTTTCATTAAGAATCCTTTCTTATAAAGGATTTTAGGACTAGTATAAATAAGAATGTATAGTTTATTTTTGGATGAATATTATTATTCAAACTTATAATAAAACACTAGAGTTTTTTCTTAAATTTCTCTACAGCATAGGTCTGTGATGAGCTTGAGAACCCTAGCTTCTATCCACGCTATACTCCGCGAGTTACCAAGCTAAAGAGTGCAATTGCATTTTCTTTATTTTTCAACTAATTTCAGGAGTCTATTTTTTGGTCTGAAAGTCTCTTGCTAAAATAGGGTTTCTCACTTCTATAAGTACTATCGGTTAGCATATTGATTGATGCATTCGACGTTAGGCATTTTGCTGGGTGTTCATATGAACATGGCAATGGATGTATATATTTGATATTCTATTTTGAAAGAATTCTTGAATGAGTTTAAAGGGATTTTACAGGAGCATGCTATTACCATATTTTGTTACTTATTTTCTTGTTTCTACCCATTCTTTTCTAGGTTCCACCCATGCTGAGTGATGACCATTTCTTAAGATTGTGGATAAAATATCTAATTGGGAATCTTTTATACCTACAGGCATACTTCCATTCAAATTCCAGTTTCCACATAATTGTGGGAGTTAGACAGTACTGGAAATTGAATGCTGTTGTTTATAACACTTGTGAATACTTCTCTGCATAACTATGGCAAACTAGGAGAAAAGTTTCTTTGGTTACGTTTGTTACTGAATTGGCTCTGGATGAAACACCATCCAGCCATGACTGCCTCAAATTTTACCTTTTTTTTACAGTCATATATTATGGTAAATATTACTTGCTGACAATATTAATTTCGGCCTGTAGGTCTGGACCAGTTTATTGGAAAGGATTGCTTCTTGCCAACTTTCCTCATGTTCTTAGAGTATGGACTAGCAATTGCTTCTTCAACATATTGCCTTACCTTCTGCTTTTCTGAACACTCTATGGCTCAGGTAGTGCTCTGTCACTCCCTGATTCAGTTTTCCTGACTTCCATGCCATTAATTTTTCTCCAAAGTGAATGTTGATGTTTTTACTGTACGTGCAGAATGTGGTTCTGTTGGTCCACTTTTTCACTGGGTTGATTCTCATGGTTATCTCATTTATCATGGGCCTTATACAAACAACAGCAAGTGCAAATAATTTGCTAAAGGTTGATTCCTTTCCCCAGAGTCAGATGCTTTTGTATTGACCATACATGGCATTTCTCAAACCAATCAAATGTCAAGACATCTAAGCAGGCATTACAAGAGGCAGAAAGGGTTTTGTTCCATTCAGAAACTTGAACTATAAGAATCAAGCATATCCAAACTTCATTTAAGCTATCACAATGTTCTACATCTTTAAGCCTTTTAGGACCTTTATTTATCTCATGTTATTTTGGGGTGTTGAGGGAGACAGGATGGTTTGAGTTAATGAATAGGATGTGTAACTCTTCTTTCTTCACATCCTTGAGCATAAACCTATCCATCCTGCAATAGTTGCATCAGAAAAGAGAGATTTTTGTAAACTTTGCACTTCCACCTGTCTCACCACACCAAACTGGAAAAACATAGTGCATTGCATAAAATTAGAGAATTCTTCTGCAAGTGCTGCATAGCTGACAGTCATTTCCCTGACATTTTTATATGCTTTATCAGAACTTCTTCAGATTATCACCAGGATTTTGCTTCGCTGATGGACTCGCTTCACTGGCTCTTCTAAGACAAGGGATGAAAGATAAATCTAGTAATGCAGTTTTTGACTGGAATGTAACTGGTGCTTCCCTTTGTTATCTCGGCTTTGAGGTGAACTTTTTAATACCCCCCCCCTCCTTCTGCTATAATGTTTTTAACTTTAAAGTTACATCCTGGCAAGTTTTTGGTGGTAGTGAGATGTGCTCATTAAAAACCTTTTTTCTCTAATAATGAGAAGCTTAGCTTGTGACATTGAAGGGGAATGAAAAAAATAATTATTATCCATACCTACATTCCTGTTGAACTAGGGCTGATTCAGTTCTCTCACTTGTGACAGAGCATCGGTTACTTTCTTCTCACACTTGGGTGGGAACTGTTGCCTTTTCACAAATTGACTCCAGTAGGAATTAAGCGGTATTGGAGGAGCATCATGAATCTCCATCATGACACTCATGATTTAGAACCACTTCTAAAATCTCCATCAGAAACTGTTGATCTCAACTTTGATGAAGACATAGATGTGAAAACAGAAAGAAATAGGGTACTTGCAGGTTCCGTTGACAATGCTATCATCTACTTGCGTAACCTTAGGAAGGTATTTCCTATTTGTTTTCTATAACAGTTGTTTCATGTATACCGATACTGCAACAATCTACTACTGTATTATAGCAATTTCTCTTCCCTGTTTTAGGTATATCCTGGAGAAAAACATCGTACAAAAGTTGCTGTGCGTTCTTTGACTTTCTCAGTTCAAGCAGGAGAATGTTTTGGCTTTTTAGGAACAAATGGAGCTGGGAAGACGACTACATTGTCAATGTTAACTGGTATATTCCATTATTCTTCGTGTAACATAATCTGATGTCTTCGATAGATATCTGTGACTAGTCATAAATGTTTCTTTAATTTATTCAACTGAGGCTCTTTTCTTACAGAATCATTAAATTGATGCTTCATTAATTTTTTTTTCCTTTTCAAATTGTTGCAGGAGAGGAATCCCCAACTGATGGAAGTGCTTTTATTTTTGGTAAAGACATGCGTTCAAATCCCAAGGCTGCCCGTCGGCATGTATGCCTCAATTTCTCTGTTTCTATTCCTTTTCTTGATAGAAGTTAGATTCTTGTTGGATGATATATGGTTGAGATTTTTCTGACTTGCCAATGTTGTACCAATCATTTGCAGATTGGGTATTGTCCCCAGTTTGATGCTCTATTGGAATTTTTAACTGTCCAAGAGCATCTTGAGCTTTATGCAAGAATAAAAGGAGTTGCAGATTACAGAATAGATGATGTATGTATATTACTCCAAGTTTAAGAGTACTGTAAACCTAAGTTGGTGGTTTATTCATGATTTCCAAATGCTATAACTAGAGTTTATGGGGTGAATAAGTGCTCCAACCTGATTTGCAAGGATTCATGTCTAGTTTACTACTGTACAAAGCAAAAGTCTGTACATACAAAATAAGTTACATGAAAAAAAACCTCACCAACTGACATTGCAAGTCATTTAATCCTGTGGGCAGGTTGTAATGGAAAAGTTGGTGGAGTTTGACTTGCTGAAGCATGCCAACAAACCATCTTTCACTCTTAGTGGGGGAAACAAACGCAAGTTGTCTGTTGCAATTGCAATGATTGGAGATCCACCTATTGTAATTCTTGATGAGCCATCGACAGGTAAGTGCACCAATCCCTTGCATTGAAAATTTCCACCTGGGGGAGGGGTTGCTGGTTTTTTCCCCATTAATACATTCTTGAAAAATAATGATACAGAAATCATTGTAATCATCACTTGCTTTAGATAGCTGACCTTTCATTTACACTTCACCATCCATATATATTCACTTCTGCTAAGTAGAGAATGAAGCTTTCAATTTGCAGTATAATTTTCTTTCTTAAACCCCCATCTCTGTCCCAGTTTTAGATTTCATAGACATTTTCATATCTAACCAGTGCAAACTCTAGTTGAATTCAATGTGCACCATATGTTGTGTGCATTTAGGATTCTGGTATCTGGATCAATTTTGTGATTTTTCTTTTGTTTCAAGACTTGATTTGTTGTGTTAATAGTGATATTACTGAGCTTTCATCAAATTTATACTAATGCAATGGCTCATCTTACTTTATATTTTCTGGATGCATTTTCTTCATGTACAATTTTGCAACGTTTATAGGAGCTCTACAGAAAACAAAACATATTTAAATCTAATATCGAGACTAGCAAACCCGAGTGTGTGTTGCACTGGCTCCTTTCTAAGAAAATGTAGTTTACATATTTTGACCCCGAGACCTTTTCTGAATTGCCTTTCCATGCAATATTCAAGCCATTTTTTTAAATTCAACTGAGAGTTTTCATCTTGTACTAGATCTAGAATTTTTCTTCTTTTTTCATTGTTTTCAAAGTGTCCTCTAGAACCAGCCTTAGTGAAATAATGTTGTTCTCGGTAGGAAATTATCTTTGATTCATCGATAACTCAACATTATTGTTCTTCTTTAGCTCAAATGAGTGTCAGATACTAATTATTACTGATTTTAGGCATGGATCCTATTGCTAAACGATTCATGTGGGAAGTCATATCTCGTTTGTCAACCAGACAAGGGAAGACAGCAGTAATTCTTACTACCCACAGCATGAATGAAGCTCAAGCACTGTGCACCCGAATAGGAATAATGGTACCAATTCACTCAGTGCTTCACAAGCTTCAAAAACCTGGTAATGACCATTGACAGAACTTGTTTTTCTCCTGTTCTAATTTTGAAGGTTGGAGGCCGATTAAGATGCATTGGAAGTCCTCAGCATTTGAAAACACAATTTGGAAATCACCTTGAACTAGAGGTATGTCATGACTCAAAGATTAATGATCTTTTTTTTGAGGTTGTTAATTTGAATGAATAAAGATTCAGGAACTTACATTTACAATCCTTCTAGAGACTGGATCTGATTTTTTAAGTTCTCCATCTGTGCCCTCAGGTTAAGCCTACCGAAGTCAGCTCTGTAGATTTGGAAAACCTTTGCCAAACCATTCAAAGCAGACTTTTCGACATTCCTTCACATCCAAGAAGTTTACTTGATGACATTGAAGTTTGCATTGGGAGAATTGACTCCATTACATCTGAAAATGCATCAGTGATGGAGATCAGCTTGTCTCAAGAAATGATTATTTTGATTGGAAGCTGGCTTGGAAATGAAGAAAGAGTGAAGACACTTATATCTTCAACACCCATTTCTGATGGGGTCTTTGGTGAACAGTTATCAGAGCAGTTGGTTCGAGATGGTAATAATCTGTGAACATATTGATTGTCTGTCCATCTTGTTCTTCCTCTGTAATTAGGAGTTTCACATACCACCATATATTCTAATCCATTTATGTGTTTAGCACATTATGTTTCGTTCCAACTTACACATTCTTCGAGTATGATGGTTATGAGTTGTCACCATATATTTTTCTTGTTAACAATGCATAAGTAGACTTTATCTATAATCTTGATAGTATAGTTTTCAAAAAAAAAAAAAAAAAACACTATGGGAAATCTACAAAAATCTGTACTTTTTTGAGTTAGTTTATTGATTTCTGTGTGGCTAGTGGCTTGGTGCTTCATACTTCTAGTAGCCATTCTTTTCTCCAATTCTAAGTATTATGATTTGCTTTTGAGTTTCTGTAGGTGGGATACCTTTGCCAATATTTTCAGAGTGGTGGTTAGCTATAGAGAAGTTTTCTGCTATTGATTCATTTATCCTGTCATCCTTTCCTGGGGCAGCATTTCAAGGTTGCAATGGTTTGAGTGTTAAATATCAGGTAAACTTCATAATGATTTCATGTTCTTATTGAGTTTGTCCATGGAGTTTTTCACCTTTGATGTTTGAAATGGTATAATTTCACTAATCCACAGCTCACTCACTATTGACGTGCTTCTAGATGACTGCAAATTGAATAAAACTGGAAATTCTTGTCCTGGTTTTGTTTTTCCATTCCAGTTCATTCTTGTTTCATTAATATTAATTTCTTCAGGAATAATATGAAATATATGGAATTTCATTCCTTTAGTTAATAAGTGGTGTAGTGTAGTTGCATGTTTTCCCATTGCGAAAAGGACCTGACACTGCTATTGTTATTTCATGGTAGAAGTCCAGGTACTTAAACCTTGTGAAATCCACTTCCATGTTAATATATCAAATTCCAAGTGTTCAGAATTAAAATACCGATGGAAGGAGAAATTAGGTGCTACTATTAAAGAATGTAGGTGCAAGCATGAATCAATCAAGCCAGAATAAATAAATAAAAGACCTAGGCTCTTGAAACCAGAAGGATGATATAAGGATGCATGGAGGTTCTGTTAATCAGGAGCTGTACACTTCATTCTTCCAATCTTATTCTTTCCCATGTAGCCTGAAACACTAAAGTGGAAAAAAATAATAAATAAAAGCCATAAGCTCTGATTTTGTTTATCAGGAGCCTTCTACTTTATTCTTTCAATTCCATTTTAGGCTTTATGAAACCCAAATAAGAATCAGGATTGTTAGGTTCCTGGTGAATGAATCATAAATTTGAAAAGAAAATCCTTTGATATAATTTTCTTTATATCAGTTTGATGATAGAAATTGATTGATTTAAGTTGCAAAGAATTCATTTCAATTTATCTGTTTCACTTGCAACTCAATCAGTTTCACGTCAGTGTTAGAGAAAGAATGGTGATAGAAAAAACAAGTTAAGATACCAAGCATTTTAGTTTGAAACATGAAAAATGCTTGGGTGTTTAACTACAGATTTTGGGCATTCCTAAGTAGTAGAGGTCTCGCAATATACCAACTACTAATATACCTAAGCAATTTATGCCAATGAGGATGCATTCCTTTCTTATCATGAGGGTGAGGGGTGTGTTTCTTGTGCGTGCATGCCCGCAGGCAAGCTCTCATGTGTGTGAGTTGCATCCATTTCTCTTCCAGCAGTCCAGAATGGCCTCTGCAGGTACTGACCGGCTCAATTTTTATTGCAGTTGCCATATAGTAAGGACCTATCGCTTGCAGATGTTTTTGGACACGTCGAACAAAATAGGTGAAGTACACCACTACATCTTAAATTAATGCTCTTTTTTCTCTTTTCTTGGTGAGTTTAAACTCAATAGGTATTCTTTACTCCAGAAATCAACTGGGCATAGCAGAATACAGTATCAGCCAGTCAACACTTGAGACCATTTTTAATCATTTTGCAGCAAGTTGTTGAGGTAACTTCAAATTCTCAACACTGTTTTTATGCCCCTAATTTTTTTTCAGATGGGTTGTATGTATGAGCAGAGATATGCTTCTCCTTCTGTTAAAAAAAGAACAATTTAATAGTTTGTAAATAATAACAGTCGAAATTGTATGTACATAGTTAAACCCAGAACATTAATATCCCGCTAGCTCTGGTGTATGAAATTGTTTATCATAAGAACAAACTAATATTGATCTGCTCGTGCAATTTACTTGTTGCATGGGATACAGTGGACCCGTCTCGGAGCATGTTAAGTGATATTTCGTGCTCAAGTAGTGCTTTTGGTTTTCACTATTTGAGAACTCCGGTAATTAAGCTGTGGTCGGGAAAGCTCAGATAAAAATTTATTATGCTTTGCCGTTGAAATATGTGATCAGTGTTCGTAACAGTCGATCAATATTGTCCTGACGTTTTTCCCTGTACCGTAACTCGTCCATCACAATCCTTTATTCTTTAGAATATGCTCTCTCTCAGTCAAAATTGCCGATATTTTTGGTTTTTGTTTTTTTTTTTTTTTATCATCACAAGAAGGCCCACAACAGTTGGAATTTGCAACCTTCCCTAAGAGACATGAATCTACGTGCTTCGTATCTAAGCTTAAGATATTTCACTATAATATGGCAGCAAATTCTTTGCCAACGTAGATGGCAATTTTATCCGCCCTGATGGACATCTGACATTTGCCTTTCTTCCAACCCAATGGTTTAGTACCCATCTTAATTTCGGTAGGTGCAAAAATATTAAGAAATCTGAAAGTAGCAAGAAAAATATGTTAATATCAAGTCTGTCTAATGCATGTCATCGGAGCATGTGTCAATGTTGTTTTATTTCCCACTGTTGATCGAGCGACCAGTAAATCAGTAATTTACAAGGTCGGAAATTTTTAAATTTCTTTACCTGTGCCCTTTAAATCGAATTCCCCCTCCGATCCAACCTCGCCCTTGGAGGGTCCAAACCCCCTCTTTTTAGTTCGGCTTGTTCTCTAAAGAATATTTTACTAGTCAACTACAATCTATCCGGTCTGTTTATATTTTTCTTTCAGCCATCAAATTGTTTCCACAATATTTATGTAATGATATTTTCCCTCTTGTGCATGTTGCAAAGAAATTCTTGTTTGCTGAACACATGGCATTTGTCCTCACTCCTAACTAGGTGCCTGACAAATGAAACTTGCAATTTAGGATGCAAAATGCATTTCCGCACACTGCAACTTGAAAAGTTTTATATCCCTGCAACTTAAAACTTGGTATCACACGCGCGCTCGCTCATATATATATATTGAAAGTGAGAGCACATAGATAGTCATTGTGTGAAAGTAAGAAGCCACTGAATTGAAATTTGACAATAATTTTGACATTGTTCTTTCCTTTTAAGTTCATGATCAAGAATTAGTGGAAAAAGTAAATCAAGAAGAAAAGGACAAATACCAAAAGTAAAATATGGTTTTACATACCCCACATGCACGTGAAGAGAGTGATATACACCAGCTGTTTCTTCAGAAACCTTCGTAATACCTGATCGGGCTGGGCCCATGACTTGGTAAGACATTGTTTTAGAATATATATATATATAAAATTGTTGACGGAGTCTTTTATTTGGGTTTTGGTTGGTAAGATCATGGATTAACTTGTCGAGTATCTTAGTTTAATTGGCTCAAATCTCTAGTCACTTTAATTTCAAACCCATTTTACATTAGGTTTAAATCATTTAATCAACTCATAAAAACTTTAAAATCAGGCTACATTTGACGACTATGTTTTCATAGCTAATTACATGTAAGTTTTCAAGATAGCTACAAGTCACCATTTAATTATTATTATTATTACTATGTTTGTTGAAAGTGGAAATCTCTTAGTCAATATTGATGTCCGAATATATATTAGAATTACCAAACAATATTTAATTTTTCCTACGAATTTTGGTGGCTAATTTGATATCGGGTTAGGTCTTTCTTGATGAAAGTCCATGAGCAATGAAGCTCTAATTAGGTAGCACGTGAAATGGCGCCAACCAGCCAGGGCTAATTTCCCGAACAATATTTTTATTCTCTTACAATCGTCCATTCCAATATCAAAGTTCTTTCCGAATATGGTAACCATTTCAATGTCAACACGCACCATCTCTCAGGAGTAGAAGAATGCTGTAATTAACACATGGTTCAGATTTTGAAGTTGTTGCCCACCAACCATGCTATGCTCACCAGTTTTTCAAACCATTGTGAAACTTTCTTGGAAAAATTAGCTGATCGTTAAGAATTGTCAACATGATGCCTTGTCCTTTCTAGAAATCAATTATTTGCTTACACCTGGTAGATGTGTTTATTTGAAAGATTAAACACGATTATGGGAGAGAATATGCTTTCAGTGCCCTGCAGAATATTTTTCTGTCTCATTCATTTTATTTATAATTTAATTTCTACAAGTGAGGCGAGGAAGAGGAACATGTGTTGAACATAAGTCAGGCGAGGAAGAGGAACATGTGTTGAACATTTTTTTTCTTGTTGGTTAATATCAGACTTGTCATTTATTAATTTGGTAATGGGTAACATTGTGTCGGCCATTAACATTTCTTTCCATTTTGTTTCTTCTTTATTTTTTTTTCGGAGGTTGTAGTTTTTCAATCTCCCAACGAGACATGTCAAATCATAGGGCAAGACCCATACAAGTTGCAATTTTCCTTTTTGATCAAGTTAGGAGGCAATAACATCAATGGAAAATGATTTGTAATTAAACTTTTGATTTGATCATATATAAATTATAAGCAGCTAGCATACAGTTTCAAAATGATATATCTAATTTGAGTGATTTTCTTATAATGTTAACTATGATACATACTTTAATTACAACCTCAGGTAAAGTAAGAAGTATTGCCGGCTTAAATGTGTGATTACTCTTATGAGACCGGACTATTCCTCTTATTAATAATGTTTTTCAAGTCAAAATGTTAGACTAGATATAGCTTGTCTCACAAGTAATCCAAGACATATACTACACTTAAATTTAATAACTTAAAATAACTTAAATTATTAGTTGTGTTAGTAGAATATAATTTATATTATTTTTTAATTAAAAAAATTTTTAATTTTTAATTTATATAGATTTATATTATCTTATATTTAATTTTTATTAAATAAATAAGGATAATGAAATTTAAATTTATGACCGTTTGATTATCAAAATTCTAATATTATATAAAAAAATATTTTAACTTAATATTTTAATATGTTAGGTGATAATTATAATATAATTTATATTATTTTTTAATAAAATTTATATACTTATATTCTATCCAATCCCGTGTATCAAACACTAGTTATCCAAGAAAAATGAATAGAGATTTTGAGTTGGGTTGTGTGAGCAATATAAATATTGTAACTTACTCCTCCGAACGGCAGTTGCATTGCCAAGCAAACCATGTAAAATTTGTGTATATTATACATTTTCAACAACAAGAAACATATGTTAACTTCACTCAATCATGTAGCTGACATAAGGGGGGCTTGTGCCCGTTTTAACACCCTTAAAGATACTTGGCAATGTACAGATCTTGTTCATTACTGCAGCAACAACAACAGAGAATACAACTTCAAACTTTTCTGTGTCTAATTACGCTAGCTACTTCATTTTTTTGTTTTAGTAGCTGATGACTTGTCCTTAGATTATTCTACACGACACACATTTTATTTGCATGATTGAGATAGTAAAATGGTTGCACTTTCTCTAATCTCTGCTCTCTTCCTCTTCTTCTCCCTCTCCCCCTCGACTTCCAATCTCACACCAAACAACTTTGGCCTTTCATCTTCCTCTTCTTTCTCCAAATGTGCGTTTTTAGCTACTAAATCAAGTAGCTCCTTGCACTTTCTTTTCATGCTAGTAAGCTCAGTGCTCAAGACCCCATTTTCTTTCTTGAGTCGTTTATTTTCATCAACTAGAGTAGAGTATTCGGACGATGATAAAGTGGATGATGATCTTTGATCTTCTTCAAACTCTTGTGGTGTGACTTGAATTAATGGTGCAATAGGTTGTTGCTTGTTAGTCCAAGCTTTTCTTCGACGAATTTGGCGTAGTAGCTCTCTTTCTCCCTTCCGAAACATGTCATTGCAAAACTCCCACCGGCTCGTTGAAACTTTTCGAAAACCCTATTCATAACAATGACATGAAAGAAACATAGGGAATCTGTCCTTCGACTCAAAGAAGGCAAAACAAAACGTGCCTCGACAAAATGACAAAACTTTGAAGAATTCTTGATTAGCATCATTACTTTTTTAGGGTCTATCTAATTGTGGTTAATTAGTAAAGGATCGTGTTACTCCAGGTTTAGATTTACTTTTTTTTCCTATGAATAGTTCAAGGTTTTTTTTTTTCCAGTATAAAAAAGAAGAGATTTGAAACTAGAAAAAAGGATGACTTGAGAGGCAAAAGAGTGCGTGTGTGTGTACCATCTAATTACACTATTTTAATTTACCTTTCTAACCCTCCTCCCTCCCTCCCCTCCTTCCTGCATATATATATATATATATATATATAAACTCATGTTGAAAAAATCCACCAAAAACATGTGGCTTCTAAAGTTTTTCCTTTTTGTAACAAAAATATAATAATAAATTAAACGATGCAAGGCATGAAACTTCTGACTCACTTTACTTGGAATTACCAAGCTCTAAAGTCTAAGTTTTGCAAGAATTAATTGATTAATTAAGACAAAGTAGAAAGTTAGGTTAGACAGGGCCATTAACCTATATTCTTTCATTCAACAACCTAGAAAAGATTAAAGAAGGAAAAAAAATAAAAACCAAGAAGATGATTCAAATCTTAATTAAGAACCAATTAAGTCAACTGAACCAAGAACAATTAAGAACTTTGAATAGATAAAATACCATGCAGAATCAAGAACCAAAAAAAGGGTAGTATAAACTTTAATACATACATAAGTATTGAGTTGCCGGACAAAGCTAGAGAAATTGCTATGCTTGAAGAGTGTTGGTAGGAGATCACGAGAGAACTCAGCCGGTTGCCACACCACAAATCCGGTCCCCTCCCCGTTCCATGATATCACATCATCGGTCGCCAGATCCTCCACTAACATGTAGGTTTTTAATAAAAAAGGTGGCGGGGTTGATTTTCTAACATATTCTAATAAACCCTTGTCATCTGCCATGAATTTATTCAAAGAAAAAGAAGAAAGGACAAAAAAAAAAACAAAGAGAAAAGGAGATTATTGGATGATATTACAAGATTTTTAAGGAGAAGAGGCAGAGAAGAGAAGAAGGG